ACTATTTTTTTTTCTTTTACAATTAAATGTTTGAATTGGGGTTGAAGAGTAAACAAAAAACTTATCATTTGCTTCACAAGGAATTTTATGTCTGTTCGAAACAACTATTAGACATGATTCGGGAACAATAGAAAAGTTCCAAAGTGGATATACGAGGATCTCACTTACTAATTTACATGTTAAGTGAAATCCACTTGACATGTTATATAAAATCAGGTGGAACCCTTGAATGTTCTCATGGAACCTTTTCATTGGTTCGGAAACAATTATTAGGCATGATCGACATAAAATTTTCCTCCATTTCACTTAGCAATTCAATTTTTTTAAAAAAAAATTTTGATTAAATCAAGTTGCTCTTCCCCCATTAGCACTATCTTCTGTCTTTCAATTCCTCTTCAATCCATACATGAATATACCATCGGAAATAGTGACTAAACCCTTCCATCCTTCCTTGGCACTCCCTTGCGCTAGCCATGTTTTGATCCGTAGACCAGGTCACTATAATCACAAAAAATGTGGATGTATGACAAGCTTCTCAATGTTCAAATGCCCTATATTCACAATTTATTATTGGAATGGTACTCCCAATTCCATGAAGATAATACTATTATTCATAAATTTTAATAAATGACCTTTGTTTTTTCTTTTTCAAATTTCGGCTACCAGAAATAATTTTATAAAGCAAGGGGCAAATATTAACTTAAGGAAAAGTCATGCACGATCCAATGGCTCTCTATGTACAAGCTTATTCCTCCAATAATTAAGTAGGATGTTAATGCTTATACGACAAATTGTAAATGTTAACAACAGTTGTTTGACATATTATAGAACTCAAATAATTGGCAAATGTACACATCTTTAGCCTTACATAGAACTTTCAATTATTTATTATATATATACACACATAGAGACATGTACATATATACCAAGTGGCTAAGGAACTTTTCCAGTGATTTTTGTCGTCCTCCATTTGGTTATGGTTTGCACGTGAGTCTTTGTTTTGCCATTTTGGTTGAGTGAAGAAAGCTAGAAGTGTGAGGCTTGTTTGCATATTTTTTTTGGATTAATCTCTTTTACACTGATAATGTATATACTGTCAGTTATGGACAAATAATAGTTATGCAAAATTTGAGTGTGAAATTCAACTTTTATACATGTATAATAAATCTAATAGTGATAATGCATATAACGTCCGTGTATATAAGATTTAGTCTTTTTAATTGACAGTGGTAATTATATCATGTCCTATTGGAGATTAAAGTATCGCACTTTTAGTGGTTGCGGGTTTATTTTGTTTGTGTGTGATTCATTTTGTGTAGAGAATCCTATGATCTAAAAAAGTAAGCCAAGTAGGTTGAAAACTCAGGTTCTTCAGTTGTAGCACAGATTAGAAAGTAAAAAAAAAAAGCAGCAAAGTTATATTACCAAGACACCACTAGGTCACGTTGAGACAGGTGTTTGGACGCCTGGTTCTGAAATACTTGCCACTCACAGCCACGGTGGGAATATAGTAGGCGTTGACAAAATTCAACTCCATAATCAAAATCTACATAGAACACAGTCTTATAATGTAGCTACTACATTAGATAGCCTGTCCTTTCGATTTTGCTTCAACATCTAAGGATAATGCAGAATCTCAGCATTAGAGTTCTTCTTTTGATTTCCTCTGATCAAATGGAAGGTATAACTATTGTTTGATTTCCTCATTTGATTCCATCTAAATAGCATAAAAAGCTATTTGATTCTTTCTATAGAAATTCTTTCTGCTAATGCAGTTTAGCTTCCACTACTCTCCCATTTAGTCTGCCTATGATCCATGCCGAGAATTCTTATATACAGCTTGGGCATGTCCTAAAAGTACAGGAAAAAAGAGGAGGTAAAGTGACAGGTGTCGAGCCTGTGCAATAATAAATACCTGCTCGAGAAAAATATAAATTTTCTATGTATAGTAGTGAGCAGGATCAAATCCACAGGGACTGGAAAAAATTCGATTCTTTTCAAGTTCGGGACACGGGGGATTTTTATCAGAATGAAACTAAAAATAATTAAACAATTTAACCAAAAATAAATGATTAATTAATATGAATGTAAATAGAAATTAAATAAATAATAAATAAATTCTAGCCAAAGATACAACTACGCAGACATAGTCCATTCATCTGATCATTGATGCAAAGAAGGTTCACTTAATTTTATTAACAGGTTAGTTATAGTCGCCGATAAGTTTTGACGACCAATTTTTCCTTAATTTATTGATAACCAAGGTACGACCGTTGATTACTTTTAAACAGGAAATACTCCTAGGTTCGACTGTAGGAATTAATTTCCTAATTGCCTTAAAAACTAGAAAAGCCTAACCCAAATTAATAACACGCTACGAAGGTTATTTAAATCAAATTGCATGTTCCCCTAGTATGTGAAAATACTAGTTGCAACTTATATTAACCAATTAAAAAATTACGGATTTAATTGATTAATTTGACAGGAGATTAATAAGTCAAATTGCACATCGGACCCTTGATATCCAATTAACAAAATAATCCCATGAAAATTCAAATAGAAAACATGCAAATATTAACAAATTAAGGAACACATGAAAATTAATTCGATCTCATAGATATTTGGAACTGCGTCGTCGTGTTGATCCTTGATTAGATGAGAAGATTAGCCACGCCTCATAAGAAAGTTCCCACAAAATTTAATAGAATTCAAAGGCATAAATAACTCTTGAAGAAAACCCTCACACCACAAACAAGAGAAGGAACAAGTTCCTCTCTTAAAACTAAAACTCCTATCTTTTCCCCCGTAGAGAGAAACTAGTCTATTGTTCTTTGCAAACATAAAAACAAGCCAAATGGAAAACTTCACCCCACGTCCACAAAAGAACCATTCTTCTTCTACCTAATCAATCCCACCGAAAACAAAAGCAAAAGCCAACTTTTGTTTGTCGGGCTTCCTTTGACCAAATGCACACGACCACAAGAAAGCAATTATCCTACTACCATAAGAAAGCAAACAAAAGGCACACCATCTTTAGACAATAACTAATTCTTCGCGGTCCCCACCAAATTGAGATGTTGGCTTGCCAAATTCCTTATTTCCTATTGCTAGTGGACTACATCATAACAATTCAATTCTTCAATTCTTCATCAGCACAAGGAAAGGAAATCCGTTGGTTTTGTACCATGTGGGCCAGTTGTGTAAAGCTTTTAGAAGCTCTCACGTGTGGAGTAATCTTCTCAAGAAGGTTTTTGCTCCACTTTCTGAAATTGGGTTCAAATACCAGATATAAGTATATGTCACAATTAAAGCAATATTTGGCGAGGTCAAAGAGGAAAATTAACAATAAAATTACTAACAATTGACACCCTATCAATTCCCCTCACACTTAAATCATGCTTGTCCTCAAGCATAAGAACACTAAACTCAACAATGGCTAGTTCTCATGTCATCTATTGCCAAGTTGTGTTTACACCAAAATCAAGGTTTAGAGGCTAAGTGTCAAGACATAATTCTCCCGGTTAGTTCCTGAAATCATAGACTCGTCCATTTCATGGCTAACTCGTCTAAGAAATAAAAATAGCAAAAATTAGCAATTGGGTCAACTGACAACTAAAATCTCAACATTGAAGAACAAGGATCGGCAGGCCAACATGATCATAAGCTTACACATTTTTTTTCTTTTTTTTTTTAAATAAATGCTCAGTCCCAAGCTATTCAAGTCTTTTGACGTGAACTCTGACATTTTTAGATGAAAGAGTCCAGTTACTCAACTCTTCACAGGTTCAAGACTACCTACTCATAGATATCGCCACTTTTTGACGCGATAGTCGACACTTGTGGAAAAGACTCCCGGTTACTGGGTGACGACACTAGTGGAGTAGAGTCATTTATTAATCACAATTAAAGTACCAGAATACCAGACAGTTAAAGATCATGGCCCATATCATCTCCTAACATGGAAAACTGAGTCCACAATCGCCCAATCCACACAACAATCTAAAGAAACATGCTTTTGCACCAAGTCATTAAACTCATGATATTCACCAAGATAACATGCTTTTGCTTGCCACCTAAACAAAATTCATAGGATAAATCACAACCAGCAATAGAAGAGTGAGTTGCCACATTTATTCATCAAGACAACAGTAAGATAAGCAGCAAATTTAAAGAAACATCAGTCGATTCATCAAGACAACAGTAAGATAAGCAGCAAATTTAAAGAAACACCAGTCGAATTCAAATCCCCCCCACACACTTATAGCACACATTGCCCTCAATGTGACAATTAAACAGTAAAAGCAAGAATGAGGGTAACGGGACTTCCCTAAAACCACAGGGATCGTGTCAGGGTCGCATCGGCGGGTGAGGGAAAGTTATGGCCGAAAGAAAAGAAGGAAAAGGAGAAAAGGGAAATGGGAGAGAAGAAAGAAATAAAGAAAGAAAAGAAAGAAAGAAAGAAAAAAGAAGAAAGAAAGAAAGAAAAAGAAAAGAGAAAAAAAAATAGTTTTTGAGGATTTTTTTTTTTTTTTTTTACAAACTCAAATTTCAAAATTCGAATTGTGAGAACCAAAACTGAAGGTGTAAAATGGAAAATGTTTTTATTTTGATTTTTTTTTGTTTTTAGGTTGTTAAATACAGCGTGGGCACGCCAAGATTATAAAACGTCCACTGACCTCAGGAGTCACTAACAAGGCGTGGGCACGCCAAGATTGCATTTCCTGCCAATGTCGCGAGATGTTGAGATTTGACTAACATGGCGCGGGCACGCCAAGATTGGTAAACATCCACTGACCTCAAGAATTACTAAAATGGCGTGGGCACGCCAAGATTGCACTTCCTGGTCATAGTGAAGGAAAATATTAAGATCGACTATTACTCAACTGAGAAACGACAAAATGAAAGAAATGAACAATAAAAAATAATAAAACCAATATTTGGGTTGCCACCCAAAAGCGTCTTTCTTTAATGTTTTTGGCTAGATCTAACCCAGAATTTGCTTAAACTAAGCAAATCGGGTCCTCCAATTGCATCATCTCTACCCGTTCAATCGGAAACCCTTCATAATACGGCTTGAGACGGTGACCATTCACCACAAATTTCTTCTCCTTTTTCAAACTCCGGATCTCCACTGCACCATAATCAAAGACATTAGTCACAATAAAATGACCAATCCAACGAGAACGTAATTTACCTGGAAATAACTTCAATTTCGAGTGGTACAGTCGAACTTTTTGTCCACAGATGAATGTCTTCCTAGAGATCTGTTGGTCATGAAAGATCTGATTCTTCTCCTTATAGATCACTGCATTCTCGTATGCTTCATTTCGGATTTCTTCAAACTCTTGTAATTGCAACTTCTTTTGAATTCCGCCCTCCTCGATATCCATATTGCATTATTTGACCGCCCAAAACGCTCTATGCTCGAACTCGACCGGTAGATGACATGGCTTCTCAAATACCAACCGGTAAGAGGACATTCCAATGAGTGTCTTGTATGCCGTCCTGTAAGCCCATAGTGCATCCTCCAGGCTCATACTCCAGTCTTTCCTATCAGGTCGGACCATCTTCTCTAAAATCAACTTGATTTCTCGATTTGATGCTTCCGCCTGACCATTTGTTTGAGAATGGTAGGATGTGGAGACTTTGTGCAAGACACCGTATCTCCTAAAAACTGCAGCGATCGTCTTGTTGCAGAAATGAGTACCCCGATCACTTACAATTGCTCTCGGCATCCCAAAGCGGACAAAAATGTTAGACTTAATGAATTCTGCAACCACTTTGGAATCATTAGTGCGGGTGGCCTTTGCTTCCACCCATTTCGAAACATAATTTACAGCAAGCAATATATACAAAAAACCAAAGAACGAAGGAAAAGAACCCATAAAGTCAATACCCCAAACGTAAAAAATTTCAACAAAAATCATTGGGGTCTGAGTCATTTGATCCTTATGATAGAGATTACCTACTCGTTGACACTTATCACAGGACTTATAAAATGAGTAGGCGTCTTTGAATAGGATCGGCCAATAGAATCCACTTTCTACCACCTTACAATCCGTCCTCTTCGGTCCAAAGTGACCTCCACACGCAAAAGAGTGACAATATGTTAGAATGGATTGGAATTCAACCTCACTTACACATCTTCGGATAATTTGGTTGGCACCCCGCTTCTAGAGATAAGGACCATCACAAATATAGGACTTTGCATCGCTCCTCAATTTGTCTCTCTTAGCCTTAGGCCATCCTGTAGGAAACTTGTCAGTGACTAGAAAGTTAACCATATCCGCATACCAAGGCAAAGATGAGTTAATAGAAAATAAATGGTCATTGGGGAATGCTTCTCTCAATGGGAGCTCATCTTTGACGACTTGTACTCGACTCAAGTGATCTGCTACCAGATTCTCCGTACCTTTCTTATCTCGGATCTCTAGGTTGAACTCCTCTAGCAATAATATCCACTGTATCAATCATGGTTTAGCCTCTTTCTTGGTCAACAGATACCGCAAAGCTGCATGATCAGAAAAAATAATAACTTTAGCACCAAGTAAATAAGATCGAAATTCTTCTAAGGCAAAAACAACCGCCAAGAGCTCCTTTTCGGTGGTTGAATAGTTCAATTGAGTTCCGTTCAAGGCTCGAGATGCGTAGTAGATAGTATGGGCTGCCTTTCCCACTCTTTGACCCAGTACCGCACCCACTGCATAGTCGCTGGCGTCGCACATGATCTCAAATGGGAGGTTCCAGTCGAGGGGTTGGATAATAGGTGATGAGGTCAATAGCTCCTTTAACTTATCAAATGCCCTCTTACCTGTTTCATCGAACTCGAAGGATACATCTTTTTGCAAAAGTTGGAACAAGGGTGCTCCAATTTTCGAGAAATCTTTGATGAACCTTCTATAGAAACCTGCGTGACCCAAGAAGGAACGAACTTCCGGCATACTCGCGGGGTAAGGTAAAGTAGATATAACATCTATTTTTGCCTTATCAACCTCGATACCTGTAGATGATACTACATAACCTAAAACTATCCCGTGTTCGACTATAAAGTGGCATTTTTTTCAATTAAGCACGAGATTAGTTTCTATACACCTTACTAAGATTAATTTCAGGTTATCTAGACAATTTTCAAAACTTTTATCATATACAGTGAAATCGTCCACGAAAATCTCAATAATCTTCTCAACATACTTTGAAAAGATACTTACCATGCATCTTTGGAAGGTAGCAGGTGAATTGTACAATCCAAATGGCATCCTTCGATATGCAAATGTTCCAAATAGGCACGTGAAAGTAGTTTTCTCTTGGTTCTCGGGTGCAATGGAAATTTGGAAATAACCTGAAAATCCATCCAAGAAACAATAGTAAGCTCGACATGCCAATCTCTCTACTATCTGGTCAATGAAAGGGAGGGGAAAATGGTCCTTTTTCATGACGGCGTTTAGCTTCCGATAATCGATACGCTGTCGCCATCCAGTGGGTTTTCGAATTGGTACGAGCTCACCCTCTTGGTTTGATTCCACCGTCATCCCTGCCTTTTTCGGGACCACCTGTACTGGACTCATCCACGGGCTATCTAATATTACAAATATAATTCCAACGTCCAGCAGCTTTAAAATCTCCTTCTTTACGACCTCCATCATGAGAGGATTTAATCTTCGTTGAACCTGCCGCACGAGTTTAGCACCCTCCTCGAGTCGAATTCGATACATACACACTCGGGACTAATTTCTTTGATGTTGGCAATGGTCCATCCTATCGCCTGCTTATGTTTCCTAAGAATTCAAAATAGTTTGTCTTCTTGAACCTTTGATAAACCCGCGGAGATGATCACTGTAAGTGTCTCCCCTTCACCCAAGTATACATACTTCAGATGTTTCGGCAGCGGTTTCAGTTTCAAAACAGATGTTTGCACCACATATGGAAGTAACCTTTGGTGAGGTTCGGGTATGAAAATCGGTGCAAGATCATACCTTGTCTTTGTGGTTGGTAACGTTTGCAACGATCCAACCACACATTTAAGCTCTTCACTCAACTCTATCCCAGAGGTCATCTCGGACTCGAAGTGCCTGGTTAAGACGACCTCTAACGCATCCCTGCCTTCAATTTCAAAAACCTCCTGTATAGCAGGGTTAATAACATTTATCGAGAAAATAGAGCTAACATTTGAATCGGATGGATATTTTATGGTCTCAAAGATGTTAAAGTGAACAATCTCACCATCAAATTTCATAGACAAAGTACCCTTATTAACATCAATTTTAGTTCGGGCTGTGCTCAAAATGGGTCTACCTAACAATAAAGGTGACGGATCATGGGAGTGTTTATCCTCCATGTCGAGCACATAAAAATCAGTTGAAAAAATCAATTCATTAATTTTTACCAAAACATCTTCAATCAATCCATCAGGGTATGCATTGGTCCTGTCAGCTAGTTGGATTATTATCCCAGTCTCTTTCAAAGGGCCTAAATTCAAGGAAGCATAAATGGACTTTGGCATGACATTAATCGAAGCTCCTAGGTCTAACATGGTCTTTCCGATCAAAATATTACCTATCCTACAAGGAATAGTAAACATACCTGGGTCCCCGCATTTTGGTGGAAGTTTCCTTTGTAGAATTGCTGAAACATTTTCCCCAACTATAACTCGTCCATCCCTCTTCAATTGCTTGTGGTTGGCACACAACTCCCTCAAAAACTTTGCGTATTTGGGTACTTGTTTAATCGCATCCAACAGGGGTATGTTGATCTCTACCTTGCGAAAGATCTCTAAGACTTCTTTCTCCTTATCTTGCTTCTTTAGTTTCTCTAACCTGTTAGGAAAGGGAGGTGGATTAGTCTTAACTGTACTAATTGGGTTTGGGAGTACCTTTGTATCTTTGTTGTCTCTGCCCTCCTCTTTCAACTCTTTCTCAATCCGTTTCTCGTCCTTGTCTTTAGAAATCACAGGTTCGGGTCCTTGGACTTCCTTGCCACTCCTCAAGGTCATTGCGCTTACATTCTTTGGATTCACCTCAGGTTGAGATGACAAACTTCCCTTGAACTTGGGACTCCAAACGGTTGATCGTTATGGCCATTTGATTCATTTGATTTTACAATGATTGCACATGTCCCAGTTGATTCCTCATGCTTTGCAGGTCTGAATCCGTCTTTTGTTGATTAGTAAGTAATTGTTTCATCATCTCTTCCATGGACGGGCTTGAATTTGAAGGGAGTGGTGGTGGATGAAGACGGTACTGCTGTGGGTGCCCTTGCTGTCTAATTGACACAAAGTTAGACTGCCTATTCCCTCCATAGCTAAGGTTGGGGTGATCCCTCGAACCAAGATTGTAGGTACTTGAGTATGGGTCGTACTGCTTTCTTGGCGCGAGCGCGTGGCCAACCATATTCACCTGTTCTGCAGTTTCTTCCTGAACCAGCGGATACATTTCCATAGGATGGCCCACGGCAGTGCATGTCCCACACACTTTGGCTTGTGAGGCACTCCCCACAGCTAGTTGTCGTACGAAAGACGTCAATTCGGAGAGTTGCTGTTGGATAGAGGACGTTTCTACCTCATTTACCTTACGCGTCGTGATGCCCTCTCTTGAACCAAACTGCTGTGAGTTCTCATCCATCCCTTCAATCAACTCCCATGCTCCTCGAGGAGTTTTGTTCACCAATTCCCCTCCACTTGCAGCATCGATTATACTTCTGTCCCTGAAAAGTAGTCCCTCATAGAAATATTGGATGAACAGTTGCTCACTTATCTGATCTTGAGGGCATTTGGTACACAGTTTTTTAAACCTCTCCCAGAATTCATAGAGAGACTCGCCTAGGTGTTGTTTGATGTCACATATCTCCTTCTTTAGGCTTGCAACTCGAGACGCCGGAAAGTACTTGTCCAAGAATTTTTTCTTCAGTTGGTCCCACATGGTGATACTGATAGGGCGTCATTTGTTAGTAATTTTATTATTAATTTCCCCTTTTATCCCTGCCAAATATTGTGTTAATTGTTGATATCTACTTATATTTGGTATCTGGACTTAATTTCAGGAATAAAACAGAAAACTACCAAAAAGGAGGGACTTTATGGAGAAAATGGAGACTTCTAAGGGTTTCAATCCTTGGGCCCTTGAATTGGTGGGGGACCACAAAGCTAGTGAAGGATATTTGGTCATTTGGGCTCTTCAAAGAAAGCAACGTAGAGAGACTTGGAACAAGGAGTAATTTGGAGACTTTGTCCACATGTGTGGGGACCACCTAGATAGCTCTTAGTCATCTTCCTTTTGGTCCTTTAAAAGGGAACAATGTAGAGAAGAAAAGGACGGCTTGAGTTTTAGCTTTTTAGTTTAGTTCTAGTTTTCTTTCTTTTGACTGGCCTCTGACACACGCCAGGTGTTCGACAATATTCCCCAACGGGGAAAACATCTTTTATTCTCTGCTTTCTATTAAAAAATGCAATGCCTTTGCAATCTATTAATTCGTATGGTGATTTAATTATGCGGCGCAGCTAAGCCTCCCATCTAGTCAAGGGTCAACTCGACGGCGCAGTCTCGAAAATCTGTGAGATCTAATTAGTTTTCACGCATTTCTCAATTTATTAATATTTGCACGTTGTCTGCTTGAATTTTCTTGGGATTATTTTATTAATTGGATGTCAAGGGCCCGATGTTCAATGTGATTTATTAATCTCGTGCCAATTTAGTCAATTAAATCCGTAATTGTTTGATTGATTAATATTAGTGGCAACTGGTGTGTTTACACATTAGGGAACGTGCAATCTAATTTAAATAACTCTCGTAGTGTGTTATTGATTAGGGTTAGGTTTCTCTAGTTATTAATGCAATTGGCAAATTAATTCCTACGGTCGTATCTAGGAGTATTTTTCTGGTTAGGGGTGATCAATGGTCGTACATCGGTCATCTATAAATTAAGGAAAAATTGGTCGTTAGAGTTCATCGGCGACTATAACTAGTCTATTAATAAATTAAGTGAACCTCTCTTGCATCAATGATCGGGTAAATGGACTGTGTCTGAGTAGTTGTATCCTTGGTTAGAATTTATTTATTCTTGATTTAATTCCTGCTATATCTGTGCTAGTTAATTATTTATTTTTAGTTGGATTGTTTAATTATTTTTAGTTGCCTATCGGTGAAATCCCCCTCTTACCAATTGGATTTTAAAAGAGACAAATATCTCCAGTCCCTGAGGAGACGACCCTATTTGTCACTGTCTACTATTCAGTAATTTTCGTCAACTAATTAATTCTGGTATATCGGATTCAGCAAACTCTTCGGGAACAGGGTGAATCAAGTAACCCATTGCACACCTAGAGTCCCTGCTCCAGTATCTAGGATTAATTTTTGACTGCTTTTAGTAGTATTTAAGTTTTTATTATTATTATTGCACAGGTTCGGCACCTGTCAATTTTTGGCGCCGTTGCCGGGGACTGGCGTTATTATTTGTTTCTTTTTAAATTCATTTTTGTTCTAATTTTCTGGCATTTTTCTAGCGTATGCCTCGGTCTTCTCGTACAGGTGATTTGATTTTTGACCCTGAAGTAGAGAAGACCGCGCGTAGAACGAGAAAGGAAACCAGACAGCTCAGAGAGGAGCAATCCAGTGCTACGTCTCAGAGACCTGAGTGAGAAGTTGAACCAACAGATTCATTTGGTGACACTTCGAGTGACTCGGAGCAGGAAGAAATCCCCATGGCTAATGCACGAACATTAAGGGAGTTGGCTGCTCCTGATTTAAATCAACAGCCTTTATGCATTACTTTCCCGAGTTTGAGTGATAACACTTCATTTTAATTGAAATCGGGTCTAATTCACCTTTTACCCTCTTTTCATGGTCTACCAGGTGAGAAGCCACATAAGCATCTGCAGGAGTTTGATGTCGTGTGCAACAGTATGAAGCCCCCGGGAATTACAGAAGAGCAGATAAAAATGAGGGCATTTCCCTTTTTCTTGAAGGATTCTGCAAAGGACTGGTTGTACTACCTACCGCCAGGTAGCATCACCACATGGGACCAATTGAAGAAAAAGTTTTTAGATAAATATTTTCCTGCATCCAGGGCTGCGAGTCTAAGGAAAGAAATTTGCGGGATCAAGCAGCACCCAGGGGAGTCACTCTATGAGTATTGGGAACGGTTCAAGAAGTTGTGCGGCAAGTGCCCCCAACACCAAATAAGTGAGCAGTTGCTCATACAGTATTTTTATGAGGGGCTCCTTTTTAGAGACAGGAGCATAATTGATGCTGCAAGTGGAGGGGCACTGGTGAACAAAATCCCTCGGGAAGCAAGAGAGCTAATAGAAGGGATGGCAGAGAATTCACAACAGTTTGGTACGAGAGAGGATGTCCCAGTACGTAAGGTGAATGAGGTAGAAACATCCTCTATCCAGCAGCAGCTAACTGAGTTGACCTCGTTTGTTAGGCAACTGGCTGTAGGAAATGCATCTCAGGCCAAGGTGTGCGGGATTTGCACTGGTATGGGTCACTCTGCAGACATGTGCCCAATGACTCAGGAAGAAACTGCAGAACAGGTTAACATGGCTGACCACGCGCCCGCGCCAAGAAAGCAGTACGACCCTTACTCAAGCACCTACAATCCCGGGTGGAGAGATCATCCCAACCTCAGTTATGGAGGAAATAGGCAGCCCAACTTTGCACCGAACAGGCAGTCTAATTTCGTGCCAAATAAGCAACCAGGGTACCAGCAGCAATACCAACCCCGACCACCTCCGCCCCCAAACTCTGGTCCATCTTTGGAGGAGATGATGAAACAAATGATGGCAACTATTACGCAAAATCAGCAAAGGACGGAGGCAACCATTATGCAAAATCAGCAAAGGACGGACTCCGAAATGCAGGACATAAGGAATCAGATAAGTCAAATGGCTACTACCATCAACCGTTTGGATTCCCAGAACCAAGGTAAATTACCGTCTCAGCCTGAATTAAATCCGAAGAACGTGAGCGCAATGACCCTAAGGAGCGGGAAGGAAATTCAGGGGCCCGAGTCTGTGACTCCTAAGGACAAGGACAAGGAACGAATCGAGAAAGAATTGGAAGAGGAGGGCGGAGACACCAAAAATCCAAAGGTAATCTCGAATCCAATCATTGCAGTTAGGACTAATCCACCTCCCTTTCCTATCAGGTTTGAAAAATCAAAGAAGCAGGACAAGGAGAAAGAAGTCCTAGAGATCTTTCACAAGGTGGAGATCAACATTCCCCTTCTAGATGCAATTAAGCAGGTACCCAGATACGCAAAATTTTTGAGGGACTTGTGTGTCAACCGAAGGCGGTTGAAGGGAGATGAGAGAGTGGTAGTGGGGGAAAATGTGTCAGCAATCCTACAACGAAAGCTTCCACCGAAATGCGGGGACCCAGGTATGTTCACTATTCCTTGTAGAATAGGCAATACCTTGATTGGAAAGGCTATGTTAGATTTAGGAGTCTCAATTAATGTCATGCCGAAATCTATATATGCTTCTCTGAAATTAGGACCTCTGAAAGACACTGGAATAATCATCCAACTGGCTGACCGAACCAATGCATACCCTGACGGATTGATTGAGGATGTTTTAGTGAAAATTAATGAATTGGTTTTTCCTGCTGATTTTTACGTGCTTGATATGGATGATGAACACTCTCACGACCCATCACCTTTACTGTTAGGAAGACCCTTCTTGAGCACAGCTCGAACTAAAATTGATGTAAATAAGGGCACCCTATCTATGAAATTTGATGGTGAGATTGTTCATTTTAATATTTTCGAGTCCATGAAATATCCTTCAGGATCACATGCTGGCTTTGTTTTCTCTATAAATGTTATTGACCCTGTTGTACGAGAAGTTTTTGAAATTGAAAGCAGGGATGAGTTGGAAATCGCCTTGACCAGGCACTTCGAGTCAGAGATGGCGTCTGGAGTAGAGTTGAGTGAAGAGCTCAAATGTGTGATTGGAGTGTTGCAAACGTTGCCAACCACAAAAATAAGGTATGGTCTCGCACCCGTTTTTACACCTGAACCTCACCAAAGGTTACTTCCATCTATGGTGCAGGCACCTGTGTTGGAGTTGAAACCGCTGCCGAAACACCTTAAGTATGCATACTTGGGTGAGGGGGAGACACTCCCGGTAATCATCTCCGCGAGTTTATCAAAAGTCCAAGAAGACAAATTGATTCAAGTTTTGAGAGACCATAAGCAAGCGATAGGATGGACCATCGCCGATATCAAAGGAATTAGTCGCGCGGTATGTATGCATCGAATTCGACTCGATGAGGATGCTAAACCTATTCGGCAGGCTCAAAGGAGACTGAATCCCCTTATGATGGAGATAGTGAAGAAAGAGATCCTGAAACTGCTGGATGTGGGAATAATCTTTGCTATATCAGATAGCGCCTGAGTGAGTCCGGTACAGGTGGTTCCAAAGAAAACAGGGGTGACGGTAGAGTCAAATCAGGAGGGCGAGCTCGTACCAGTTCGAAAGCCCACCGGGTGGCGGCAGTGCATAGATTATAGGAAATTGAATGCCGTCACGAAAAAAGATCACTTTCCCCTTCCTTTCATTGACCAAATGGTAGAGCGATTAGCGGGTCGAGCTTACTATTATTTTTTGGATGGATTTTCAGATTATTTCCAGATTGCTATCGCACCTGAGGACCAGGAGAAGACTACCTTCACGTGCCCGTTCGGAACATTCGCATACCGGAGGATGCCATTCGGGTTATGCAATGCACCTGCTACCTTCCAACGATGCATGGTAGGTATCTTTTCAGAGTATGTTGAGAAGATTATTGAGGTTTTTATGGATGATTTTAGTGTTTATGGGGAAAGTTTCGATGATTGTCTAGATAACCTGAAATTAATTTTGGTTAGGTGTATAGAAACTAATCTTGTGCTCAATTGGAAAAAATGTCATTTTATGGTCGAGTACGGGATAGTTTTGGGTCATATAGTGTCATCTAAGGGTATTGAGGTTGATAAAGCGAAAATAGATGTTATATCTACTTTACCTTACCCTGCGAGTGTGCGGGAAGTGCGTTCTTTCTTGGGACATGCAGGTTTCTACAGGAGGTTCATAAAGGACTTCTCCAAAATTGGAGCGCCCCTGTTCCAACTTTTGCAAAAAGAGGTGCCATTTGAATTCAATGAAACATGTAAGAAGGCATTTGATAGGTTGAAGGAGCTATTAATCTCCTCACCTATTATCCAACCGCCCGACTGGAACCTGCCATTCGAAATCATGTGTGACGCTAGCGATTATGCAGTGGGCGCGGTGCTGGGTCAAAGAGTGGGGAAGGCAGTCCATGCTATCTACTACGCATCTCGAGCCTTGAACGGAGCTCAGTTGAACTATTCGACCACCGAAAAGGAGCTTTTAGCTGTAGTTTTTGCTTTAGAGAAATTTCGGTCCTATTTACTTGGTGCTAAAGTTATTATCTTCTCTGATCATGTAGCTTTGCGGTATTTGTTGACCAAAAAAGAGGCAAAACCACGACTTATAAGGTGGATACTATTGCTACAAGAGTTTGATCTGGAGATCAGAGACAAGAAAGGGGCCGAAAATTTGGTAGCAGATCATTTGAGTCGAGTACAAGTCACCGAGGACGACCTGCCACTGAGAGAAACATTCCCCGATGAGCATTTATTTTCTGCTAATTTATCTTTGCATTGGTATGCAGATCTTGTTAATTTCCTAGTTACTGACAAGTTTCCTGCAGGATGGCCTAAGGCAAAACGGGACAAGTTAAGGAGTGACGCAAAGTCTTACATCTGGGATGACCCTTACCTCTGGAAGCGTGGTGCCGACCAAATCATTTGCAGATGTGTAAGTGAAAATGAATTCCAATCTATTTTAGCTTATTGTCACTCTTTTGCATGTGGAGGTCACTTTGGACCAAAAAGGACGGCTCGTAAGGTTCTAGAGAGTGGATTCTATTGGCCGACCCTCTTTAAGGATGCCTACTCGTTTTGTAAGTCATGTGATAAGTGTCAACGAGTGGGTAATATTTCTCGTAGGGATCAAATGATCCAAACCCCAATGATTTTTGTTGAGATTTTTGACGTTTGGGGTATTGACTTTATGGGTTCTTTTCCTTCGTCTTATGGTTTTCTTTATATATTGCTTGCCGTAAACTATGTTTCGAAATGGGTGGAAGCAAAGGCCACCCGTAATAATAACTCCAAAGTGGTTGCAGAATTTGTCAAATCTAATATCTTTGTCCGCTTTGGGATGCCGCGAGCAATTGTAAGTGATAGGGGTACCCATTTCTGCAACAAGACGATTGCTGCACTTTTCAGGAGGTACGGTGTCTTGCACAAAGTCTCCACTTCTTACCATCCTCAGACAAACTGTCAGGCGGAAACATCAAATCGGGAGATCAAGTCAATTTTGGAGAAAGTGGTTCGCCCCGATAGGAAGGATTGGAGCATGCGACTTGAAGATGCCTTATGGGCGTATAGAACGGCGTACAAGACGCCAATCGGCATGTCCCCTTATCGTTTGGTATTTGGGAAGCCATGTCACCTCCCTGTCGAGTTCGAGCATAGAGCATTTTGGGCAGTTAAACAATGCAATATGGACATCGAAGAGGGCGGAATTCAAAGGAAGTTGCAATTACAAGAATTGGAGGAAATTCGCAATGAAGCCTATGAGAATGCTGTGATTTATAAGGAGAAGAATAAGATATTTCATGACCAGCAGGTGTCTAGGAAAACGTTTGAATGTGGGCAAAAAGTTCTACTGTACCACTCGAAATTGAAGTTATTTCCAGGTAAGTTACGTTCTCGTTGGATCGGTCCCTTTGTTGTAACTAATGTCTTTGATTATGGTGCAGTGGAGATCCAGAGCCTAAGGACGGAGAAGAAATTTGTGGTAAATGGTCATCGTCTCAAGCCGTATTATGATGGGGCTCCAATTGAACGGGTAGAGACAATGCATTTGGAGGTCCCGATTTGCTTGGTTTAAGCAAATTATGGGCTATGTCTAGCCAAAGACACTAAAGAAAGGCGCTTGTGTGGGAGGCAACCCGAATATTGATTTTATTGTTTTTAGTTGTTTATTTCTTTCGTTTTGTCGTTTCTCCATTGGGTAGTATCAATGCTAATATCTCCTCCACTGTGACCAGGAAGTGACATCTTGGCGTGCCCACGCGGTGTTTGTATCTTCTGAGACCAGAGGACGAAGACCAATCTTGGCATGCCCGCGCGGTGTTTGTGTTTTCTGAGACCAGAGGACGAAGACCAATCTTGGAAGCAAATTTAATGAATTCAAATTTCAGATTTATATTTTCATTTTGGAAGCAAATTTTGTCCAGAAAATTCAATGCCACTTAATTAATTTAGACCTTGTTTACTAACCCAATTCAGCACTTAAATTTAATAGATTCAGATCTTAATATGTTCTCATATGTTTGATAACGAAAAATTGAACATTTGAATTAATTAAGTGGTATTGAATTTTTTAGGCAAAACTTGTTCCAAAAATAAGTGATAAATTATTCATTTATCAGTGAATGTAATACACTCAAATATATTTGATTTAATATTTAACAAATCAATAATTTAATGAAATTAGATTTCAATTTTGAGACTCTAGTTTTATCAGACGCACCCTTAAATTGTGGGAAATTGAGTTATAAAAAAGGACCTAAATTATTTAGTATAAATCACGTTTTATATTAGTAAAGTTAGTGGAAGAACTAGTATAAACCTCATTTGCGAAATATAAATACGAGTATCATTTGCCATACAAATTACAATCCATTAACTCAATAATACTGGGAATGAAACACCAGACTCAGAAAAGAATGGCGAAAAAACTTGCGACTGCAAAAACAAAAGAAAAAGCAAAAGAATTGGAAGAAGAAGCAATGAAAGTGGAAATGAAAACCAAGGAGGAGCTGAAGCCCTGGGAGCAGCACTCTGCTGTGATCATCATTCCTCGTTTTGACTACAACGCCCCTCTTCTCTCCTCAGTCATTCCCACTCCGGATTCCTCATCACCTGCCCCATCAGTAAGGCCTCTCATCCCATCTCTTCTGTCCAGAAAGCTATGTTCTTTTTTTTTTTTTGCTATTTTTGTACCTTATTGGCATTTATTTATATAATTTGCATCTGGGTTTTTGAAATTTTCAATTTGATTGTTTGGGATAGTCTGGGCAGTGTGGTGATTGATAAAAAGGCTTCCTTTGTTATGTAGAGAGGGAGAAGAGTGCAACAAAAGAAGCCATGTCAATTCTTGAAAAGGTAATGAATTCTACTAGTTTTGTCTCTTGTCAGTTCTCTGGAATAATGTCAAAATAAGGAAATTTTAGACATAAAGAAAATTCATGCTGACTTGAGAATTAGGACAGTTAAATTGGTTTAGTAAACTTGGTTTTATGGGATTCTTAAATTCTAGGCAAGGTTGGGAACTTGGGGTATTTGGAAGTGAATAAGACTGTAGCGGACTTGAATTACTGGTATAATGTGTTCGCTGCAATAATTGTTTTGGTTTAAGATGAAGAGTGGCAATGTTACGGAATTGGTTTCTAAAGAAAGAAATGTTTGAAAGATTAAGCATAAGTAAACGGGGAATGGGACGGCGACTAATTGATAAAACTGAGGAAGTTTGGAGAACTGGGTGAGCTGTGCAGAAGATAGGCACAGGCATATTGTGTTGACAGGTGCCGAACCTGTGCAATAATAAATACTAAAAAGTCCTAATTACCACCACAATTAATTATAGAACAAATCCGAGTACGGGAACAGGGACCCTAGGTGTGCAATGGGTTACTTGATTCACCCTGTTCCCGAAGAGTTTGCTTGATCCGATATACCAGATTTGTCTATACAAATATTAATTTTGCGTACAATGGCAAGTAGGGTCGATTCCACAGGGAGCAAGTAGGAAATTATTTCTTTCCAAATCAATAGAATGGGGGATTTTTAATAGGATGTAAATGAAAAATAAGAATAACACTAAAGCAAACTAAATTCAAAACTAATTCACAAAGCACAAGTTACTAAAAGTAGCAATTAATGAAATTCTACCCAAAGGATCAACTGCTCAGGCACGGTCCAATTAAATGATCATCGATGCAAAGATATTTCATTCATTAATTACTAGGCTGGTTATAGTTATCAACAAGTTCTGACAACCAGTTCTTCCTTACCTTTTCGACAGTCAAGGTACGACCATTGACTGCTTCTCTAACCAGATAACAACCCTAGGTACGACTGTAGGAATTTAATTACCCAATTGCACTAAAATTAGAAGAACCCAACCCTAACTAATAAACACGCTAAGAGGGTTTATTTAAATTAGATCCTACGTTTCCCCAACATAAAGCCAATTATGGTGGTTGTCACTAGGTATCAACTAAACGAACAATTAAGGATTCAATTTAGTTAATGTGACAG